TTCATTTCAACTCCAGATCAAAAACACACATCACCGTTTTAAAAACGCCTTTTCCTTTCCACGGATCGGATGGGAAATTTGAGGGAGTGAAGTATATTAGATTATATTTTTGTTCATTTTTCGTTAGGGGACTATTTGGTAGAAATTTCGTGGGTAAATTATATGGGAGATCATTAAACTATAATTAAAAATTAATATGATTACGTCCGTTAAATTTTAACAGAGGTGGTGAACGGACATATGTTAATATGTTATTGTAAGGTTTATTTATAAATTTTAAATTATTTAATAAAATAATTTTTTATCTAATCAGATGATGACACATGTCATCACCTCCATTGAAATGAAAATAAAGAATAACAACATGCTTACAAAGGAATTTAACTTTGTCAACAAAGAAAACCTACTAGGCGCCCAAACCATTGGACCAAATGTCTCCAATAATTTAAACTTACAACAATTCGTAATTGACTTGTAAAAGTTTGTTTATGATAACAAAAATTAAATAAAATATTATTTAAATTAATTGTAAATTATTTTTTGAATTAAAATATTCAATTTTTATATAAATTAAAAAAATTTTAAAAAATCGTTAATTCGAAAATACACCGAATTAATTTAAATTTGTTCAGTTCAGTTAATAATTTTCAAATAAATTTCACTTGGATTAATGGTTAAATAAAAAAATTCGATTAATTCGGTTTGGTTAATAATTTAATCAAATTAAATTTCTCACAATTATTTTTAAATGACTATATATGAACTATATTAAAGAATAAAATTATTTTAAAAATTCATTTAGAGGATCTAAAATCACAACAAAAGTCAAAAACAACTTAAATCATAAAACAAATTTATAATTCAACTATTAATTTTTTATCTTCAATTTTTTAAAAATATTTCTCATTTACTTTAAATTTATAATCATTTCAAAATAATTGTAAAAAGAATAATTGATTTAATTTAAAAATATAAAAATCTTAATCTCATTTTTATTTTTAATATAATTATTCAAAACGTTTACAAAATTATTCAAAGATTATACAATTTATTCTTTTAAATACATGTCAACTATATTTTTATATACTGAAATACATATTATTCATTTCTTTTCTGATCTGACTTTCGGTAAGAAGAACTGACCTGTCTTGCTTCTCATCGATCCATAAACTCTTCAAAACCTGTGTGTGAAACACTCACACGTTAAGTCATGGGCTTAGTGAGTCATATAAAACCCCAATATAAACTACAACTAATTCACAAATGCATATACATATATTGTGACACAACACAATGTTTGAAAAATTACTACTATCATACAGATTCGCATAATAATTCATATAACACTTGCACACATATAAATATATAATATCCTTATCATTATTCATATTTTTATTGTGATCAATATTGATTTTCATTTATTCCTTTAATCACGCGGTCTTGTCCATCATATTCATACACACCATGTCATATAATACATCCATCATCATATAAATCATGTATTACAATTCATATCACAAAAAAATATATACGTCACATGTAGTATGTTTATTATTATCTTTTTGTTAGCCAATGTACACATGTGAGAACTAAAAATATGCGAGTATTATGAGATTGTGCACACATATGATGTCACCACAACTCGTATAAAATCCACTAAGTGGCATATGAAATCTGTGTCCCGAATGACCTATCCATATGTTTCGAATAACATAGGTAACTGTCCATATGTCTCGAAGGACATAGGTAATCCTGTCCATATGTCCCGAATGACATAGGTAAATTATCCATATGTCTCGAAAGACATAGGTAACCCTCGACTCTTGGCATGCCAACTATATCTCTAGCTCTCCTGACACTTAACATGGACATTCTCTTTTATATCGTTTCACATATTCACATAGTCATATCTCATATGCTCATAGCTTTTATCATATCATTCACATCATATTGCTTATATTTTATGCTCATGTAATCACATCACTTATACATGTACTCATAGAATTCATATCGTTTATCTTTTAATCACATAGCTTATTATAGTATAACTCATGTCACATTTTCATATTCACATATCATCTGACTTATTTCTTATTATTGTATATATATGCTCATATACATGTAAGCACATATTTTCTTATCTTATAACATATATTACATATGCATGTAATCTTATGACTTATTATCAAGTAGCTCAAATAACATTTTTATATCATTTCTTATATGTTCACCATGTTATATCATATAATTCATAGTTAGTGTCACATAACTTAACTTATATCAGATTATCACGTGTTCACATATATCATGTACTCTTATATAGCTCTACAAATCCTTAGCATATAACTTATCTTATATGTTCATATCATTACTTTATATTCAAGTTTCCTAATTGATATATTATTCCCATTTCATTATATGATTAAGTCTTATTTAGTTTCTTTAATTTTCTTGAAATTCTATAACTCTATTATATTAATTCTCATAATTAATCATATTATCATATTATTACATACTTTATTCCATAACCATATATTCACATAGATCACATAGCACATATACACTCATACAATCAAGCATACATACATTTTATATTAATCACATACTTCATGTACTATATTATCGGAAATAGACTTATCGCAAGTCAAATTTCCATATAATCATATGAAATAAGATGCACTCACCTTAGCATTGCTTGATTCTAGCACTTTTCTCTCGATCGTTTTGATTGTTCCGGAACAGGGTTATGTTCAGTATCTTTATTTTGCCTTCACGCAAGAAGGAAGAAAACTCTGAAATCATTTTTTTCCTCTTATACTCATCCCACGTAGGGATAATATAACCCCTCTAAAAAACATTGCTATCAAATGACCGTTTTGCCCTTCCACTTTTTTCATATTTACCAATCAATCCTCTTGAATAAAATTCTCAATTAAGTCTTTGAATTTTTAACTTGTTTCGAAATCAAGCACAATATTTTCAAAATTTGCAATTTAGTCACTGACCATGATTTGGGATGTTACAAAACATGTAGTGACATATGTCATTGGTGAAATATGTCACAACATCTGGTTGAACGTTACACCTTTTGATTGGAGTGTTAATTTTTTGAATTAAATTAAAATTATGAATAAATTGATAGAATATGCAAGTATTGAAGATCAAACGTATAATTATATCAATTTTGTTAATTGCCACATCAACGCTTTCATCAACGTTAAAGGTAGGTGACTTGATTGAAACCACTTAAATAGTTATGTGATCATATTAATAAAATTAAAAATATTATGATCATATCGACACCAATCATATAGTTCGGTGGTTATTTTAGTAGTTGACTTTTGGAGCTTTTAGTGTGGCAGTAGCAATTGAAGGACCGATCGAAGAGTTCATACAAGTTTAGGCAATGGGCCAATGAGGCGGTATGTTTGTAGAGTTGTGACTCGGGGAGTTAGCGTCGCATTTTCCTTGCTGAAACTTCTTAGTTTTTATGCTTAAACTACAGCAACATGACTAAAAGTTGGATTTTTTATTTCATTGAAATTAAAAAAAGTATTAAATATATTAAAGTTATTCATTTATAAATAATATTTATAAAATTAATATACTTTAACTGATATTATAAAACATTATTCTAATATTTATAATTTGTATATAAATAATATAATTTTAAAAATAATTATTTTTTCAAGAATATAACAATTTATTAAGTTAATATAATGGTTAAGAATTGATATCTACTGAAGGCTCTCAAGTTTGGTTTTTAAAGATAAAAAATAGGTTTTCATTAAATAAAAACGATGAAATATAATAAAGACAACTCAATCCAACATGAAAATTTAAAGGGCATAAAAAAAATAAAAGCAGAACTTTCACTTGAATACATGTTTCATCTTAAACAAAAAAAAACTATCAATAATCCCCGTCTTTATTTAAAACGAGATGCAATATTGATATATACGTGAAGATTCAGAGAATCAGTCTAATAGATTGCTCCGAACGATTCTGAATGCATTGACAACTTACTACAAGAGAATTTAACTATGAAATATCGCTGACTACTCATGATCAAAAGGTATGTGATGGATGTAATATGAAACATCAAACTATAATAAAGATTGAGAAAATCATGCCATAAAAATAAATGAATAACCGTGTCATAAAAACAGACAAAAACAAAAGCTTTGAGAATATATGAAAATAAGAGAAATCAAAATGAGAATCGTGTTTATTTAGAAATAAATAAAGAAGTTTAACAAAAACGAAAAAAATAAGAAACAGAAAAGGAAAGGAGACAATATTTTAAAAAAACATTATCTTTAACCATTAAAGCACATATACCCTACAAACAAAGCTGGTAAAACTCAAGAGTTCAAGAGAGAACAACATTTCATTTTACCATTGATACCACTAAACGAGTTTAATTAGTTTTAAAATTGAGTCTTATATTTATATTTTTAAATATTTTTTTCAATAAGATGATAACATATTTTGCCATATTGTTAAAGATATTAGTTTATTTAAAAAAAATATCATATTATTACATGTGTCTATAAATATTTTTTGTATTTTCTAATAATCACATTTATTTTATACAAATATATTTTAAATACTATATAAATATAAAATAGTCCAAAGATTAACATATACCAAATTATAATTTGAATAGCGGTATGATATTAATTTTTATTGTTCGTTAATAATTAATAATTCAAGAAACTATAGAATATAATTATAATTTTTTAAGAATAAAAAAATGAGTAAGTTAATTATTCAGTTGTTTAAATGATGTTTTTTTAGTTTTACAATACATTATTATTAACTAATTTAAAACACTGAGTAGGTTAATTAAAAATCTAGCCCAAAGCCCGTGTCATTTAAAATCTTGATTGGGTCCGATTATTTTTTTGAGGTCCAAAGTTCAAAAAATAAAGCCTTCGAAAACGCCTTTTCCAAAACCCTAAAAAGAAACCCTAAAAATAATAATCGCAATCGGGCGGCATTTGCTTATAAATTCATCTCAGCGACACGGTCTTGACCGCCTCTTCGGAAGGAGTTTTAATCTGTTTCTTTTGCAGCGTATTTCCCCTTCTAAAACCGTAGGTATCTCCTCCTACCAAAACGCTAAACCTCTCTCTATGGAGTTCTGGGGTAAGCTCCTCTCTCTTTTTAGTCTTTTTTTTTTGGTTTGGGCTTTTGCTTTCATATTTATTCTTTTGTGTTGCTCAGTGTTGTTTTATTTGAACATTCTTGCTGTTTCTTATTTATTTGTTTGTTTACATTTCTTCTGTTTTTGGAAGTTAATAGTTATTTATTCGAATATTTGATCTTTTTTTATTGGATTTTCCACTTTTCGCTGTCAATATATAATAGTAATATTATTTTGAAAAGATTTTTAGTATTTTCTCGTATCGCTAGTTATGTTTATTAGTATCATGTCACACATGCAAGTTAAAGTATTCCAGGTTCACTTCATCCCGTTGTCATTGAATGGAAGCATTATTAGAATTGTCATTTACGTTGATTTTTTGTATAGAATGTTTCAAGACCTCTACATTTGCTGAATTTTTTTTGGTTTGGACACATGAATTTGATCACCTTTTGTGTTACTATTAGGTATTGAAGTTAAGGCTGGACAGCCTATCAAAGCAGACCCTGGTGCCGATTACGTCATCCATCTTTCCCAGGTTCGAAGTTAATTAGTTATTGAAGTTGATATTCATACATATGATTGATTTTTCTTGTTTTTAATGTTGCTTGTGTTTTAGGCCTCACTTGGTGAGTCAAAGAACAAGGCAGAATCTGTTCCACTCTATGTGAATGCTAATGGGAAGAAACTTGTTCTTGGAACACTTTCCCACCAGAATTGCCTCCAATTATCCTTTGATCTTGTATTTGACCAAGAGTTTGAGCTTTCTCACAACTGGAAAAACGGGAGTGTCTATTTCCTAGGATACAAAACTTATATTCCAGAGGAAGGATATCCTTTTATTAATAGGAATTAATTTACTTATTTTCCTAATTACCATGCTTTTGTTTTTAAATAAATATGAAAGTGTTCTTGTTCAATCTTGTACCGCCTTGACTTTTTTGGTCTCTTCTGTCGCCACTGATGATTTTGGTGAGACCTCAAATAAAAATTGCCCTACTTGCAATTTTTTCTATTTTGTTTAATTATTTCTCATGTTTGTTATTCTTATTTACAGGTATGTCTAGTGATGAAGAAAGTAGTGAGGAGGAGAAGATTCCTATGGTTGCTGCAGAAAGTGGTAATTTCTCTCTCTGTGCTGGAAATTATATCAATGGTTGAAGATTTGATTGTTTCATGTTTCAACTGTTTAACGTTTCCATACTGGCTCCAGGAAAAGCCAAGACAGATGCAAAAACAGCAAAGGCTAATGCTGGGAAACCAGAGGCTGTCAAACAAGCTGTTAAGATAGCAGAACCTAGCAAGAAAACTGAGGATGATGACGATGATGATTCTGAGGATGAAAGTGGTTCTGACGACTCAGATGATTCTGAGGACGAAGATGAATCTGATGAGGTTTCTTTTCTCAACTTGGAAAAAAATATTAATTCATTCATTTTCCTGATTCTTATATCTTGTCTCCTTGGACTATGAGTTGTTTGTGTCCTGTTTCTTGTTTAATCTTTGCTGTTGCTTCTTTTGTTATTATTATTTTTATGAACAGATGTCTATGGATGGAATTTCAGAAGATGAGGATGAAGAGACACCTAAGAAGGTAGTTTAGCTGATAGAGATGATCTTTTGAATTGTTGAATCTGGCCTGATTGGCAGATTCCATAGCTGTAATTCATGTTTTCTTCTTTTCAAGGTTGAGTCAAGCAAGAAGAGACCTGTTGAAACTGCAACCCCTGCTTCTTCAAAGAAGGCTAAATCTGCAGTTTCACCCCAGAAAACAGGTCATTCTCTTTGTAGGCTTGAAAATCTGCAGTATCATTTTACCAGGATTGGACTGTTCTTTTTTTTATCTTCTGATTATAATTGCTTGCAATTGTGGCAGATGGTAAGAAGGGGGGTGGTCATACAGCAACACCGCATCCAGCGAAGCATGCTAAGAAAAATTCAGCAAAGACTCCAAAGTCTGGCGGTCAATTCTCTTGTGGTTCTTAAAACTTTGAAGGCCCCAATTTTGATTGAGTTAACCAACTACATGAATGTCTCATTGAGCAGGTCGATCGGGGGTGGTCTAGAATCTCGCAAGAAGGCAAAGCATGGTGGCAAATGAGGTCGGGTTTACATGCTCTAATGTGCATGTTTAATTTTTGGGGGGGAGAGACATCTCCTGTCTCGTGTTTTTGGTAGACGATGGTTAGTCAATGGGAGATTTAAGGTTTAAACAAACTTATGCGGGGTGTTTCCCTTCATTGATTTTAAGAATATTATGTTTTATGGTGTAGTGTTTGCTTCAATTTTTGTCTGATTTACATGGGTGGTCTTCAAGATAAAGGTTTATGTTTTTATTTAAGGGAAATTTTGAACTAAATCGAAGTTTAGCTTTATTTGTGTACCCCCGACATTGTTATTCAATGTCATTCAAATTATATAAGATTGAACATGTCTTAATATTAGTTCTATTAATCTTATGAAGATATATTTTTGCTTTGTCAAGAAGTTGTCTTTATTATGATGGCCATGTATGGAAATGTAAATTGTAAAATTCCTTGGAGCTGACATCAACTGTTGGTGACTTCAGAGCAGGTTCTCCACTAACCTTGTATAGATAGACCTGAAGAGTCGGAAAGTTTTTTTTAATTAATTTTGATAAATACAAAACAATATATGTTTAAAGATATATTTTAATCTCTTAACAATGAATGCTTACATTCTTAGCATTTATGGTGTTCAAATTTGGGTATTTAAGGAATAATAGTAATTCTTTTATTACAGAAGCCATTTGGTTAATATTGAAGTATAGGAAAGTTAACAAATCTAAATTTCACATAATACAAATAATATAAACTAATATCATCAATCATGTGTTTAATCTTGGTCATCATTTAAGCAAGTTGCCTTGCAGTGACTTTATTATTGGGGTTGCCAACATTGGGAACATGTGTATTTAAATTGATTTTTGTAGTTTGATAATTCATGATCAGAAACCAGTTCACCAGATCCGGAATCTTTCCTTTCAGATGCGTCAGACGAGGACGTGGCTGTTGTTGACTCCTTTATGGAAGATGAACCTGGTCTCTGGTCTATAGATTCAGAGACAGAAAACAAGTAACCCGTTAGGAGTTGAAAGGATTATTTCAGAAACTGAATCAGTCTGCAGAAATCTTAACAAAATTCATAAAAGATGTTCCTTTCATCAATTTGGCATTTGTTATTGAGCACTCTACCACAGAAAGTCATGGCTTTACCACAAAACAGAGGAAGATTTCATATAAACATGCATACATCACAAATTCATATACCAAACAATACATTCAAACTGACGCCTTAGAAGAAAACCTACATAGAACAAGAAAAACCATGCGAGCCAAAGCATAAACTTGCTCAACTCCAACACTAACTTAGCTCTCCTATATAAGTCAATGAACTATATTTCTTGGCCTTAGATAACTACATTTTACAGCAATTAGATTCAGGTATCTGAAGCCATAGATCACTGTAGGAAAGTCTGAGATCAAATAAAAAATAAGTTAGAAATTACATACGCATCATGAGGTGTGAGGAAAAGGTTGAAAGAACAAAGGACAAGTTCACAGGGAAACAAACTCAACAGAAGTGAGATGCAGATGAAGGCTCAAACAAGAAACCTATGATTGCCTGTAAACAATGGTCAAACATGTAATATATGTCCGTACTTTTTAAGCCACAGTCCAAAATTTATCATCCAATTTAACTAAATTTGAATTTGCATTGACAATTTGACATAATTAACTAGAATAGGCACCATGTGGAGTAAACATATTTTGGTTGGTTGATCAAGTTGTTTATTTTTCTTCCCTTATATTTCTTTATGTCATGAGTTATAGACCCACTAAAAATACTCTTCTTCTTTACTCTAAATTCTCTTTCCCCTCTCCTAGAATTAGATTTATAATTTGTCAAAAAAGAATAGGCACCCAGTGACCTCCAGCTCGTTAGTGCATCTGCATGAGTACGCTGATAAATTGTATAGACTAAAGGCCTCAAATTCAGAAATTGACAAGACAAAATTATAAATACCCACATTAAAATAATTTATTTGAGTACGTAAAATAATATAGTATAAAGTATACAAATAATATTTTTAACAAAAAAAGACGAGTTTAGAGCATAATGAATAGTCGGATGATCATTTTATAACTTTTAATAGTTGAAGAATTCAATAAAACAACTCCATATAATCGAAAGAACATTTTATAATTTTTAATAGTCGAAAAAAATCAATAAAACAATATCCTAACCACTCATGCATTGGTATTTAAAATTGTGAAAGGATAACCCACTTCAAAATTTCATCCAAATTCAACTATGACCAAGTGATAGGGATGAACAAAAAATTGAATTTAGAACGAAAGAAATGACATTGCGACTTAACATATAACTTTAATAAGCTCTTAATATAATTAAGAACATAAATACAAAAGAATACGTAATAGAATTTTATTGTACGCCTCGAACTCAGGACTCAAAATAATTACATAAAAAACAAACATTTTTATTCCTTATAACTTGGATCCATTACTGTTTTATAATCTTAAAATTTCAATTATTGGACTATACTTTTTTACAATCACAACATTTTTATATTTTCTTTTATTTTTTAGGTGAAGAAGAAAAAAATTAAAAATGACATCTGGGGCATTTCAATATCCTAAACAATGTTACTAATAAAAAAAACCCTAGCATGGGGTTATGAGTGAACAGATACCATAAATGCTAAAAACGGCAAAAGATTTCTAACCGGAGTCTCTTTTGTTGAACAACTGTCTTCCCCTGATTCCTCTGTTTTTGCCCTTTTACCTTTCCAGATTTCACTTTTACTCGGTTGTATTCCTGTAGTTTTAGGTTGATTGTTGCTTTGTCTGAGTTAGTAGAATTCTGATCGTTTTAGGTTGAGCCCTTGAAATATGCCCGAGTATAGAGTGTATGTGAGAAAACGCAAAAGAAAAGAACAATGTTTTTCAGTTTCTGTGATCCCAAAAGAGCCTACTTTTCCTGATCAATGTTGTTCGGTTTCTGGGATCACAAAAGAGCCTACTTTTCCAACTAGACCAGAGATAAAAGAAGTTTTGTTTGATCAATGTTGTGTGGTTTCTGTGATCCCAAAAGAGCCTACTTTCCCAAGAGAAGAACAATATTGTTCGGTTTCAAATGAAAAAAACGATGTTTTGTTTGATCCTTGCATGGTGTTGTCAGACAAAGAAGAGGAGCAAAGTTCCGAGAACTTAAGTTTGGGATCAGTGGCCAAACTAGATTTGAAAATTTCCTTGGATTCCCCAGTCACGGCGGGTTTGTTGAATGACTGCGACCAAAAAGAAAAATGTTCTGCTCCGGACTTACATTTGAAAGTCCATAACTTTGATGGAATAAAAGACTTATGCTTGGAGTCCACTGTCACAAGCAATAAAAAAGAAGTTAGCTTTAATGCGATTGAAGAGACAATTTCGGGTCATGGATGCGATGATGGTTTAAATCCTCCATCAACATGTCTGGTTTCAGCCGGCACCATTGAAGTTTTAAATACCTTGGATAAAGGTTTTGATGATCGGGATTCGGTATTGAATCATTGTCCTTTCGAGGAGCTCTCATGCTTGTTTGAGCCTAAAGTTTCTCAGCCTTACGCAATGTCACAAGGTGCTGTCTGCTGCAATTGATGGTTAAAAATCACTGATTCTGCACTTCAATTTCCTATTAATGTGTTACTTATTTCTTATTATTATTATTGATATAGTTAATTTTGAGTTCAGATAATGGATTTATGCGGGAGAATGTATCTTATGATCAAATTCTTGCCAATGATTTCTTGAATTCGAAGAAACATCGGAAACCAAAAAGGAAGATACAACGGCCGAAGGTGGCACATGATGGCAAACCAACCACACCAAAGCAAGCAAGGGAAAGGAAACCAAAGTTTGCTACTTCGAAGTCAGCCAAGGAAAAGAAACCGAAGCTTGCAGAGCAAGGTAAGGAAAAGAAGTCTAAGAATGTAAGGAAGCAAACAAGTTTTGGCTTGAAGAATGCCACAATTGAGACCAAGAATCTACCAAGCTTCAAAAGCAACATGATCATAGAGATCAATCAAACCAAAGCACCCACTGCAAGGGCTTTGGATTTTCAATTGGAAAGTTTGGATGATAGACCTATGGAGTTTGATTCTCTTAGTTTCCCGACCCGAAAAAGGTCCAAAAGGAGGAAGAGATTGAATTTGTTCATTTTATTGGTTAAGAGTGTGAGAAAATGTGTCAAGCAGAGAAAACTATTTAATGTTAATTGGTTTTCGAAGAAAAGAAGGATACAAATGAAGAGGCCACAAAAGGTAAGAATTAGCACTCACTGAAACTCCAACTCCAGTATTACTATATAAGTTCCTCGTACTTATATTACTGCTGCTTATAAGTATCTTTATTGATTAATACGTTTGAATAATGTATACTTCAGGTCATTGATGTAGATGCCAAAGCACATGATCAGATGGATTTCTCAGCAATGATTAATGGCAAGAGAAAACTATTTAATGTTAACTGGTTTTCGAGGAAAAGAAGGATACAAAGGAAGAGGCCACAAAAATTAGAACTCACTCCAACTCCAGTATTATTATATAAGTTTACCATACTTATACTACTGCTGCTTATAAGAATCTTCATTCATTAATATATTTGAATAATATATACTTCAGGTCACTGATGTAGATGCCAAAACACATGATAAGATGGATCTATCAGCAATGATTAATGGCAAGAGAAAGCATAGAGCAAGAACACTAAAAGCCACTCTCAAATCGAGAGGTAAGAACAAATAAACAACGTTTTTCTTTGAATTTAAGCTCAAAAACATCAAAATACAGATTGTATTTGATGCAGGCCGAAGTGGAACCTCGATCAAAAAGAAGATTGATTTAATGATTCATGAAATGCAATCTTTGCATATCAGTGATAACTCATTGGTTCCATACCAAGGACCATTTCAACCTCTTAATAAAAGAGTACCAAAAGTTGATCTAGATCCGGAGACTGTGAGAGAATGGAACTTGTTGGTGGGAATAGATGTTGATCGGACAAAATTTGAAACAAGTGAAGATAAGAATAAATGGTGGGAAAAAGATAGAGAAGTTTTTGCTGGACGAATATCCTCATTTATTGCCCGTTTGCAGCCAATACAAGGTAAATGACTGCTGATAAACAGTTTATTCCTACATTACCTATCAAAATTCTAATGAATATGTCAATATTTGTCTTGTTGATAGGAGACAGAAGCTTTAGGAAATGGAAAGGTTCAGTTTTGGATTCAGTGATCGGAGTTATCTTAACACAGAATGTAACAGATGCAGCTTCAAGGTAATATTCTACACTTTAATATTCTACACTTTTATTTGTATCTACTAATTAAAAATGATATAAAACTAATTTAATGTTTTCTTGATAGCAATGCTTTTATGTCGCTAGCTGCAAAGTTTCCTCCAAAACCAATAGCAAGCGAGAGTGATCAATCTTATAGTCAAGAGTTAGTTAGGAATAACATGATTGGATATGATGTAGAAGGTCTTCAGTACTTTGTAACTGAACCTGCGCATGAAAGAGACAGAGACTTTGAGGAAGTAACAAATGATTTGATTGATGAATTGGAAGAAACAAGAATGAACAATGATTGCAAAGGTTGTTTTCATGTGGTTAGTACAAGTCCGAATTCAGACCTAAATGGTGGCTTGGTTGGCGAAGAAACATGCATTAACACTGATTATGGAGGTTGTTTAAAGGTGATCATTGACACAAACTTGGCAATAAATTCTACTGAAAACCTCAATGGTGCTTGTGTGTCCATGGTGCAAAGTCAATATACTAAAATTCCAAAAGGTGTTCGTGCTAAAATACCAAAACTAAAGGAGCATGATTACTTAAACATGGGTTTTTGTAAGAGAAAATCTATTTCAAAGAAGGATGAAATTGATTCCAAGGAAGAAGAGATTGATTGGGAAAGTGTAAGGATACAATATTCCACTGGTGAGAGAAATAATGATCAAATGGATGCAGTGGACTGGGAGGCAGTCAAACTTTCAGATGTTAATGAATTAGCCGATTGCATCAAAGACCGAGGCCAACATAACATACTTGCAAAAACAATCCAGGTATGAAAAATTATATATCATAAATAACTTATTTAGCATGATTCATACTATTCAAATGTTTTACTTTTCAGAACTTACTCAATCGAGTGGTTAGTTTACACAACTGTCTTGACTTAGAATGGCTACGAAACACTCCTCCGGATTTAGCTAAGTAAGCCGACAAATTGACTGAATCTGATGACATTAAAATGCACGTGCTTACATGTTTTTTATTTACTAATAGGCGATACCTATTGGAAGTAAACGGACTGGGGTTGAAGAGTGTGGAGTGCATACGGCTTCTATCACTAGAACAAGTTGCTTTCCCGGTAGGATATTTAATTTTATATAATTTCTTTTTTAATGAAATTAATTTGCACACTAAAATTTTTTATCCTTTCTTCCACAAGGTTGATGTAAACGTTGCTCGTATCGTTGTTCGTCTGGGATGGGTTCCTCTCAAACCACTTCCTGAACACCTTGAGTTGCATCGCCTTGAACTGTAAGCATCATATGCTTAGAAGCAAATATATATATATATATATATATATAAAACACCAATGGACATCATTTTTTTTACAGGTACCCTATCTTGGATGATATTCAGATTTATCTATGGCCGCGATTGTGCAAATTGCCTCAGCGAATATTGTAATGCCAAAGTTTTCTAAACATTTTTACTGATTTAACTAAACTTATTGGCTAATATTTTGTAGTTTGATATATACTGTATTATACAGGTATAAACTTCATTATCATATGATAACCTTTGGAAAGGTATCCCGTATTATCCCTTTTATTTTATTTTATTTTAGATTCTAAATGTTTTCTACACTACCTAAAAAATTCTGTTTAGGTTACTTGCACCAAGATAAAACCAAATTGCAACGCTTGTCCGATGAGGGATCATTGCAAACACTTTCAAAGTCAATATGCAAGGTTTTGTATTATATGGATATGAATATTTTATTCTTCTCATTACTCTAATATTAATATTAAACTTTTGAATTCAGTGCAAAGAAAACACTTCCATGTAACAAAATGAAATCAAGTTCGGTTTCAGCTTCAAGCCCTCGAGCATTAGACGACTTCTTATCTACACCAGAGTTTATACAACTCCTGGATATTGAAGATCTCAACAAGATTTATGAGCCTATAATTGAAGAACCTCTCTTTGATAGTGAAAGTCAAACCAAGATTTATGAACCTATCATTGAAGAACCTTTCGAAGTTCCATCGACAATATTCACAGAGTCTCAGAATTCAAAGTTTGATGAAGCTGAGATTGAATATGATTCTGATGGAATTCATATGATCAAGCTAAATATCAAAGATTTGGAAGAAAACAATCTTATGTTTGAAGGTGGTACGGTTTCAAATGCTTTAATCGCTTTGAATTCAAAAGCAGCTTTGACCACAGCTCCTAAATTGAAGCAAAATAGACGGTTAAGAACTGAGCATATGGTGTAAGTAGTCCTATTTCATGCTATCAGCTTGAAGATCATCTTATTTTTTTCAAACTGTATTTAATCAAACTAATTTTTCTTCTTTATTTAGGTATGAACTTCCACGTAATCACGTACTTCTTCAAGGGGTAAGTCAGATTCAACTACATAAATTGTACTAATATATATTGAACTTTAATCATGTCTCTATATATTACAGTTAGATCAAACAGAATCCGAACACGATTGCCAATATCATCTTGCCATATGGAGATCAGGTATGATTTAACGTGAACAATATACATTACGGGCTCGTGTTATTCGAACTTAGATATTTGATTCAAATTTTTTCATGTATTTAGAGACTTGTTAGAGTTTTATGTTCGTATATATTGGTTATAAATACGTTATATATATGTATGGATATACTGGTCTCAGGTGAAATTATAAAATCATTGGAGACATCAAACAATCGATGCAGTTCCACAAGGTCTGAGCTTTGTGATGAAGAAACATGCTTTGCGTGTTGTAATACTCGGGAACAAAATGCCAACATAGTTTATGGCACTCTTTTGGTAATAAACTCTTAAATTGTGTATATATTATATATCGAAATACTAAATTATGTACTATATGTGCAGATACCATGCCGATCGGCTAATAAAAGTAGATTTCCACTAAATGGAACATACTTTCAACTAAATGAGGTAATAAACCATTTATATTTATCTAATTTAATTTAATTATGATTAAAAAAAACTTACATTGAACGTTTTTGTAAAGGTGTTTGCTGATCATGAAACTAGTTATCGACCCATCAAGGTTCGAAGAGATTTGATATACAATCTTCCAACTAGGATTTTATATTGTGGAACATCCATATCTGCAATACTAAGAGGTAAACAATGATCATATAATAGAGCATTTAAAACAAAAGTTCTAAAAGTTATCATGTTTGAAACAGATGAGCCAATTACAGTTGTTCAGAAATGCTTCAATTCAGGTATGTTAATACAAGTATTAAGTTAAATTATTGATAGTTAAATTTTTTATGTTATTTTATTCTATCAGGTATAATTTGTGTTAGAGGATTCGAACGTAGTCGAGGTGCTCCTAAACCCCTTGCAAGAAGATTTCACATTATATCAAGTAAGATGTAGAGGATAAAAGAATCAAAACTGAAATGTTGGAAAAACTACGGAAAATGGTAACGTACTTTAATGAATTGTAAATATATTTAGTATTAGAAATATTATAAATGTACCAACAACCAGTTGGTGTAGTGGGATGAGGCACTAAGTCTTTTAAGCAACATCAAGGGTTTGAATCATTGTGTATGTGAATGGAGCAAACTGGATTGGGAGGGTCGCCCTCGTCTTTGCAATATCTTATCTGGATTAGTCGGTCAATAGATCGGATATCAATAATTAATTCTAAAAAAATATATTAGAAATGTGTTTGGTTTGTTTGATCGATATGCTTGTTTTCTAAGTTAATTGATTTTTTTAATTTTAGTTTTTTTTTAGAGATGGAAGGATTTTATCTACTTTGAGATGTGTTTAGTTTCTTTGATAGACATTTTTTTTAATTTAACTGATTTCTTAGTTGTTCTTTAAATTTTTTTTTTATGTTTTATTTTACAGGTTATAAAACATTGAGGATAATTTTGAATCCGATAAGGAAAATATTTATTTATATAAAAAATCTTAGATTTTTCATTTTACTATTTTATTTCACATTACGAATCCATTCAGGAACAAATAAAAAATATTTATAATTATATTATTAAAAACTAACTCAAGTTTTTTGTGGAAATATTTTAATTTACATTTTAGCTTTTTTGTTCCGTTTGTAGTCGATTTTACATTTTAGATGAAATTTGAAACACGAAACTAATGCGTTGCATTATGATTAATTGCGATTTTGATTAGGAAAAAAATATTTATTAATGATTTAATTGGTTTTAAATAATGTATTTAAATTGATTATTGTGCTCTGATAATTCGTGAAACAATATAATGCTTAAAAAATTAAAATGATATATATTAAATGTTTTTATAAAATTAAAATGACATGTATTAAATGTTTTTTATAGTCAATTTTTATTTTATTTTCATTAAATGACTAAATTTACGAGCATAATTTCAACACTACTAAATTAAAAGTAGGGAGAAACAATAAGTGTCGCCAAACCTTAACATTCTGCAATCTGAATCTGAATTCAGCGTCGGCAAATTATATACAAGCTCGATCCTCTCAGTTTACTAGTATTTCGCAGTAAGCCAGTAACTCCCATAAAACGTCCTTCCACGTACACAGTAAAAAGGAATTTCACTTCTACTTTTTTTTCCTTAATTTAATATTTTATTATTTACCTTGGCTTTCGTTTCTTCTTCGAAATCACTGCGGCAGATGTTGATCTCTGTGTTCGCTTCATCCACGGCTCCAAAACCGAGTCTCTATACCTGAGTGGCAAAACCTGACTCCGCCCCCTCTTTGATCGAACCACCGGCGGCGCCGTATTCTCAGTTTCCTCGAACTCTTCTTCTTCAACGTTAAGCGAGCTGTCTTTATCCCTTTCCATTGACCCACCGCCGCCGCCGCTTTTTTCAACCTCTTCGACTTCGTCTTCCTTTCCATTCATATAATAATCCCGGGATGCAATCATCTCGGCCGCTTCTATTAGCAAATCCAATGAACCATTAAACGCCGCCGCCGTTTTAACGTCACCGCCAGTGCCGCTTTTGAACTCTTCGCTTTTTTGAATATCCGTGACATCAGAAGAAGCATCCGTCGCTGTGGCTGTACCTGTTTTCTCTTCATTGAAGCTATTCTCGGCTAAACAGTTGGAGGATTTTTCTTCACTCTCGTCCCCATCGTCGAGAAAAGAACCTAATCTTAAGTTCAAATCAATATCAAACCCTCTCTTCTTGAAAGGCTCTGTGTCGTTTTCACTGGGCGGTGGGACAGTTGAAATTAAATGAAGAATCTTTTCGAGACAAGCTTGAGCTTTGGAACGTGATCTTCCATAGCGTGCGTTAGTAAAGCAAGAATCTCTTCCCCGATTATTGCAGTATAAAGAGGCCATTTTTCTTTGAATAAAAACAAAAGATGCTCAAACTTTCCCTTCCTTTCACATCTCACAAGGCCTTTGCTAAAATTTTCCGAGAAAACTGAATAGTAAGTAAAAATGAGAGAGAAAGGCTAAAAGCATAGCCGATAATCTTTCGGTAATTTAGTATTTTATGTTTCTATAGCTACGAAATGATAAAAAAGGGAGGAAGAAATAGATATCTTCTGTGCTTTACTGACGTAGTATGCTCCTTGGCATATTAATGCTTACGTGGCAAAATATTATTGGAAAGTAAAACTGTATTGCCACGTAAGTAGCTAATGAGAAAAAAAAACTCATCACCTGAGACGTTTTCTTGTCTTGTTTTAACAAATAGAGATGATGTCCTTTCTCCCTTGACAGCTTTGTTTTCTTTCATTCAGAAAGTAGAAATTTTATTTTTGAAAAAGAAAAATATTTCTAAGATTAATCATATTAAAAAATTAATCTTTTCTAAGATTAATCATATTAAAAAAATTTAATCTTTTAATAATTAGAAATAACTATAATATAATATCAATTTAGATTTTTTTAATTTATTAATAAATATGTACATATAAATACAGTTGTTTAAATCTAATCTAAAAATAATAATATTTTCTTTGATTATTAAAGTAATTTGATAAGTTCAAATTTTTACCTTTTTATGATTTAAAAAAAAAAAGAATAATTCGCGTTTAATTTCAAGATTAAAAAATTAACCTACATATATCTTTTATTCAACAAACCTGCTTATATACTTTTCACCGCTATCAATTGATTAGAATAGACGCAAGCTAGCAAGGGTTTTGGATTAAAAACGGTAAAATCATTGTATTATTCGCCTAAATTTTGAAAGATTGTAAAATAACAAAATTATATTTTTGACATTCAAAGAATTTATAATTAAATTCCCACCTCGCATAAAATTGTTAGCGTCAACTTAAAGTAATATATATACATTCTTCTGATAAAGCTTTGTATATTTTAGATTGTTCGTTCCAGAAGCCAATGATATTATCAAGAAATCGTGGATATTTGACACTTCAATGCTTTTCCTTTAAAAAAAAGTTGGGACGTTGCCGTTTCACTAGAAAATGCATTAACGTGGAAATTTAGATAAAGAACAAAGCGAACGCATGTCAAAATCATCTTATTAATTAAAATACGCCATGAAAACCATTCTGAAAAATCCGGTTAGCTAGCCGCCTAGGTAAAATTCCACCTTTCCAAGGAGAACTGATTACAGTAGATGGACATAATAAATCAAATTAACAATATAATTATATAAGAATGGATAATGTACAGGCAGATTTAACTTGATTAATTCAAATAATATTTTGATAAATTTAGTATTTGAAATTTAATATCTATAAATTTTATTAAATAAAATTTTATTAAATTAAGATTTAATAAAAAAATAAAATTATATTGTTTTTCTCAAAATGGTATCTAAATTTTTTTGGTAAATGTAGTAAAAGTTATCATTTTAGGTTTTTCAATTGTAACGACTATTAAAATTTCTGCTAAGTAACACATGTCACTTTTATATAAATTTCAAAATTTTATTTAAAATAAAAAAACTTAAAATTATTTTTATTAAAAAATCTAAAAATTTAAAAAAATTTAAAAAAAAATCCAAAAACTTTGAAAATACTAATTTCAATCCTATACCAATGCCAGTCATCCAATCACCTTTGATGTCAGAACCCCACCCAATTGAAACTCCAACCGACGACAAGATGATTATAACCACCAGAACTTGACGAATCCTCATGAACTCCACAGTTTGAAAAATCATGACAACCATGCGATTCATGACACAGGACGACCATATTGATGGCAAGGCTGAGGACGACAAACAAAGGAGATGGCAAGGGCGATGTCGACGTGAACGGTCGTGGCTGGAAAGAGAGATAATGTTATGGTTGTGGATAGGGATTTGAGATTTTTAATGATATGAAATTTTTAAGTAATTTTAGAAAAAAAAATAGGGTCTTTAATATAATATTTTTTTAAGTTTGTTATTTAAAAAAAAATTGCCTGAACGTGACATAAGTCACTTAACAAACTTTTTTAACAGTGTTACAGTCAAGACACCTAAAGTGGTAGCGTTTATATCGTTAAGCACCTGGATTGACTGGGAAAGCCAATCACCTTTGATGTCAGACCCCCAGTGCCGCTTCTATTAGCAAATCCAATGAACCATTAAACGCCGCCGCCGTTTTAACGTCACCGCCAGTGCCGCTTTTGAACTCTTCGCTTTTTTGAATATCCGTGACATCAGAAGAAGCATCCGTCGCTGTGGCTGTACCTGTTTTCTCTTTCATTGAAGCTATTCTCGGCTAAACAGTTGGAGGATTTTTCTTCACTCTCGTCCCCATCGTCGAGAAAATAACCTAATCTTAAGTTCAAATCAATATCAAACCCTCTCTTCTTGAAAGGCTCTGTGTCGTTTTCACTGGGCGGTGGGACAGTTGAAATTAAATGAAGAATCTTTTCGAGACAAGCTTGAGCTTTGGAACGTGATCTTCCATAGCGTGCGTTAGTAAAGCAAGAATCTCTTCCCCGATTATTGCAGTATAAAGAGGCCATTTTTCTTTGAATAAAAACAAAAGATGCTCAAACTTTCCCTTCCTTTCACATCTCACAAGGCCTTTGCTAAAATTTTCCGAGAAAACTGAATAGTAAGTATAAATGAGAGAGAAAGGCTAAAAGCATAGCCGATAATCTTTCGGTAATTTAGTATTTATGTTTCTATAGCTACGAACTGATAAAAAAGGGAGGAAGAAATAGATATCTTCTGTGCTTTACTGACGTAGTATGCTCCTTGGCATATTAATGCTTACGTGGCAAAATATTATTGGAAAGTAAAACTGTATTGCCACGTAAGTAGCTAATGAGAAAAAAAAACTCATCACCTGAGACGTTTTCTTGTCTTGTTTTAACAAATAGAGATGATGTCCTTTCTCCCTTGACAGCTTTGTTTTCTTTCATTTCAGAAAGTAGAAATTTTATTTTTGAAAGAAAAATATTTTCTAAGATTAATCATATTAAAAAAATTTAATC